CAGCCAAGTTTGTGCCAAGGCTCCTGTCTGAGGACCAGAAGCAGTTCGGCAGTTTTTGGCCTCAAACACCATGGCCGTCATCCTGCACCCTCCTTATTCGCCGGATTTAGCTCCGTGTGACTTTTTCCTCTTCCCAAAGATGAAAATTCAGCTAAAGGTAAGGAGATTTGAGACGATAGAAGAGATTCAGGCAGAATCGCAGATGGTGCTTGACAGGCTGACAAAGAAAGGTTTCCAGGGATGCTTCCAGGCTTGGCAGCGGCGCTGGGATCGTTGTGTTCACTCCCAGGGGAACTACTTCGAGGGTGATGGATGAATTTAATACCTGAGATAGGTGTACGGGTTTTTATACGCGCAGTCTTGAAACCTTCCGATCGCACCTCGTATTATCAACAGTGGACATTGAACACCAACATTGGGACAGCGTTGCTGTAATACCTTCGAGAACTACAGATATAATTCTACTTAAATTTTGTCAGATCCAACGGAGATGTTTTCTTATTCGATGGACTTTGTTCCAGATCGTATACTGGAAATGATTTTGATTCTTTACTCTGACAACTTTGTTCATGGTGTACGAATGACGCCACTGGATTCACCAGAAACCTCTGAATATTACTTTGTGTTTTCTTAGATGTCTCGTCTTTGGGACTAAATTTTTGAGATTTATCGTTAGTTTTAAATATTTTTGGAAGATTTTCAAACAAATGTTTCTTTGCTTGTTTAACAGCGGTAATGTTTGTATAATTATCATCAATCTCTGTCGATCGAAGGCTATCGGCAGGAAGTTTCATAGATGGACTGTTAAGATACACGTCTTGAAAGAATTCAGAAACGTATCTTCTGGAGTTATCGTCTTCTGAAATTATTCTAGAATAATTATCAGTACAAATGTTTTTTGATTGTTTGTCATCTGTGAATTTGTTCGTAATTTCGTGAGGAGAAATGTCTTCAAAACAAAATCTTCTTGTTGGGTCACTGAAGACGTCTTCGGTTATTGGTGGCACCACAAACTTAACAGGAAATGTGAGAGGCGGATGTCTTGGAACAGGATGACATCTGTAAGGGTTATGGTTCAGATGAAATAGAGCCGAAGTTCCATTATTTATACTGGAGTTGTAGTAAGGGTCCAGTGAAGATATCTCTGGTAGAAATAATGACGATGATGATGGAGGTAGGAAGGTGGTATCTGGAC